CTAGCAAGTACGATCATGCTTTATTTACGTATACGTTCAGAGTTCCTATCATGTTAGATCGCTTAAGGTGATAAAGACTGATAGTTGGACTCGTCCTACAATGATATGAATGAGCCTTGCCTCTAATGGTAATCTCACTATGGTGGACTGCAGTTTCAGTCTCGCCTAGGTCTTATCACATTAACTTCTCCTGAACACTAAATATACGCATGAATATTCCTTGATTTTTAACTTATTGGCTTTAAGATCATGTGGAAAATTAGATGGTATATTTATAAATGTAGTGAATTCGGAACTGTAATGTTATGTACACTTTAGTGATACTAAGTCTAGTGGAAATGAACTACACTAACTTCCTCCGAACAGCTCATTTATTAGCCTCAGTGTTACTAAGCTTAAATTGCTGAATAGAATAATATCTCGAATCATGAAAGCTTTTCAAATCTTTTAAATATGCCGAACAACCGTAAATGGATTAACATTTAATAACTGGTATACCTTTAATTTCGTTTGAGAATGTGGGTGAAAGGGATTTGTAGATTGGCCTCATCGAATACTAATAGAGTTTTGCCTTGGACTTTTGTCTGTTGAATTCTGCCGCTGAGTAAGAGGAGAAGATTTGACTAAGCTGGAGTTTGTTTTTGGGTCTAAAATTGCCAAACACCTCGCGTAGTATTATCTCTAAATGTTGTATTTTTGCTACGCCTAATTTGTCAAATAGAACTAAGATGGATATCATAAAAGTATCTCATGGTTTGGTTGAAGAAAGACTTTCAAAACATTACAAGTTTAATTAAATTGATCCGAACAAAAACCGGGCTGAGGCAATCCTTGTCTGATGCTCTTAATTCTGAGGATTTCATGAGCAGAAGATTTGCTAGTAAGTTCTGATCTAGTATCGATGTACACGAATATGCTGGTAATTGGGGCCATACAGACATTAGGATTAACCTTAGTTCTACACCCAGAGATTATATCAGAAAATAAGATAAGCAAGGAGTCGATCATGAGATTGACGAATTTAATAACGATAGTACATATTTTGTCTTTAATGGTAAACGAGCTAACCGGAGGTTTAACTACGGGATCGTGTTAGCTAATTACTAGATGACTCAGTTGGAAGCCCGGCTTTTTATAGTCACCCATAGTTCCGAAACTATCGGTAAGATATGTGCATGATTACTTTACTATCGGGCAGTATGACAAAGACTGTTTGGCAGACTTCCGTGGTTTAATGAATAGAGTAGATAAGGCAACTAAATTCACTATGGAGTTAGAAAAGGACAATAAGTTACCCTTTTCAGATGTCCTAGTTATTAAAGAAGGCAACAAAATGTGTAGAGATGTATATAGGAAACCCAGAAATGATGGTTTCATTCTTAATTTCTCGAATCATACTTATGACGTTAAGATGGGGGTAATGAAATCAATTATAAGGAGTTTACTTCTAGCTGACGTAAATCAGCAGGAACAGGATTTATAAAGGTTGAGAAAAATCTTAGTTGAGAACAATTATCCGTTAGGATTATTTGTTAACGATTTCAAAATACTAATAAATAAAGTGAAAGAAAGACATTATTTGAGACAAAACAAGGAATTAGACAATTTTTTGTCCCAACTCGTAATGCTACCATCCTGAAAGCTTTCAAGAAAGGTAGGCGAATTACTAAGGAAATGGAGCGTCATGACAGTTTATAAGTAAACAAGGAGAGAGAGACGCAACAACCATTTTACTCGCCATAGATCATTCTCCAAAAATTTCTTTTAAGCTCAGCATAGGATTAGCTTCACCTTCTAGGTGACTAATTCCACAAGGACATCATGCCTGATTCTTATGATAGAATATACTTTATTCTTATTTTCGGTATGATTAAAAATGTGTACAAGTTCAATGAATTGACTTAAATTATTTTAAAGTCTTCCTATTTTTTTTAAATTTCTTAATATTTCAACAGTAGCTATAATTTATTTTGAATATAGTAGAGCATTGGGCATATATGTAATTTTTCCATTCTTTGTATAGAAGATTAGAACCCTTATTTTAGGCCGCTTCTTTATAATCTAAATGAATCAACTTATTCTATTGGAATTTATCATTTAAAATTTATTAAAATGCTGGCCTCCATTTGTTTCTAATTGGTTTCCTACAAAAGGCTTTATTATGCTTTTTTGAAGTGCATCTTACCTTAGATGTTTACATTGTCACCTGACCATTGGACTAATAATTCCGTTTAAGTGTTACTAGCAGACTTATCTCCTTGTGTTATTCTGCAACCCTACCCATCCTTTTTCTTACTATTCAAGGGTGCCAGCTCACCGGAAAGCTCTATGGTCTTTGTAGATCGGGTCAGTTTACGAAATGATCGAGTTAAATTGCTGGAGAAAGGTTCTCCCCATGGCCTTTGTCTCATGGAGTCTGGTAAGGTAAGTATGTATTTCAACGACCTAATTCCATAGGTTGTAAAACTATGGATTCATCATCATCTTAATTTGTTTTTTTCTTTTATCTACATGAACATTCCAGTACTTTATTCTGGCATTCGCATTCTGAAATTGAGTCTACTAAATTATTTTTCATCTAAATTATTTTTCAGTATAACTAATAACTTTACGCTCCATTTGTCATTAATACGTTATTCCAAATATCTTAATTTTATTAAGCTGCCAATTATAGCTGTTCAGGCTAGAAACCTCGATCAACCCTGTTAAAGAGTATTTGATGATTTCTACTTAAAAATTCTACTTTATTTCTTCTATTCATTTATGCCTTATACTATGTCCAGATGACTAATGTCTTCCAACCCTATACAATATTTCTCATAAATTATCTGATTAAGTCTTTATTTCAGCTGATCCAGAGTTCTTGATTGAGGCATCAAATACCTTAAATAAGTACTACACTACATTGCCATGGGGGCGATCGGCTAATAGGCCAGATGTTTCCCTATATTACATTCTGTGATGGGATTGCCGATGAAGAAAATTGTATTTGCTATAGCAATCGACTTAGTCACTTATTTTTTGTTTATACATAGACTTTTGAGACTACCAGTAGATCATATATATATATATTAGACATGTATTTATACTATTTCGTTTAGAGTGATAAGGGGGCTGGTAGTTGAATTTTCCCAAAATGCAATGATATAACATACATTTCCATTGAATTTCGCATATCCTTGCTTTCTCAAAAGGTATTCTTTGGTGAACTGCAGTTTTTTTGGTCTTATCAACATCTTCAATGGGACTCGAACCATGGCAGTTCAACTTATAACCTCGATACGTTAAACACTTCGTAGCATTGCCACTACTGCGCTATGCGAATTCGAAACTGCTGTCCACTCTGGATGAGAGTATAAAGCAAGACCATTTGAAATGTAATTTAAGCGTAAATTATACTCATGTCATTGTGGGAAAATTCGACCTCCAGTTCCCCTATTAGTCTAAGCTAAATAGAGTGAATACATTTTACTCCCCTCCACCGAATAGGACCCACTAAATTCGGTCAAAAGAGCATACCTCAACTAGGTTTATATAAGCAAGTTAGAAATTGTGATAGTGAAGGGGTGTTGCGAGGATATTAGATAAGTGAATACACCTAGGACAGGAGAGACACCACAAGTGTTTAGAAGACGATTGGTCAAGAGATCGACTTCATTTGTCTCATTGATGATTGTCGTATTGTGATACTAAGAATGGCAAGGCCCACTGACGATTCTGGCGGAACTTCCGGATATGTTCCAAGTCTATGGTCCGACTGGAAATTCTCGCGCATACTATGGGCTCCGGACAAAGTGGGTTGTACTAGGTCTTCCTGCTAATATGACCAAGTTGTGAAAGAAAAATCAAACAACTATACAACGAAAGAAGGACAGACCATCTTGCTCTTCATACCTTATAATAGTTTTAGCTTAAAACGTTTTTCAAATAACTACATGGGTCGCATAGATAAACTAAAAGCTTAGTTTCCGTCCTAGCAATAAAGTATAATCTCTGTTAGCATGTACAATTTCTATTTTGGGTTTCCAATCACTTTTAGGTTTTCTTTTTTTTATAGTTGCTACCTGGTGTACACGTTGCCATAGCCAACCCTGACACTTTGGGTCAATGCGCTGATTCGCATCTTGGTGAAATATGGGTTTCTTCACCTCACAATTCACCTAGTCTTTTAGGACCATACCAATGCTCCAATCTCCGCAACGAGCTATCCTCCTCTTCATCTTCTCCTTCTGCTACCTCTACCACCAGCTCATCAAATTCATCTTCGTCTGCAACCGGCACCACTTCGGTTACAGTGAATGGCGATATTCATGAGGGCACTTCGCAATCTATGTCTCAGCAACAAAACATATCATCTGGATCGGACATTCTTCATGCCCGACTGGCTACTGGAGATGTTGAGCGTGAGTATGCAAGAACTGGATTCTTGGGCTTCGTTCGGCGCACCGAGATGACTCAATCGGACGGAGGTAGGCTGGCTTTTTAAGATAGATTTACTATTTTCATATTTTATCTCAGGAGTTTTCTTGATCATTTTCTTGTGTTTTTATAACATGCTGATTTAGGCCAGTCTTAGTTTAAGGTGAAATTTGTGGATATTCAAAGTTGGGTTTATAGTAGTCTTAATAGATTCCTTTTTGCGTACCTTTTATTTCTGTTGATAATGCAACCGTCAGGGCTTAATAAATTAATAGTTTTATCAACTTTTTTCTGGCTATACGAAAATCAAGAAATCTCTATCCTAGCAAGTTAATATTATAAGATTTTTAAAAATTTGTATTTCACATTATGCAGTTCCTAGATGTTGTATTCTTGATAGACGTCCATATTTACCTATTTCCACTAATAGGAAACTAGAGAATGTATCAGGTGGTTTGGTTAAGACTAGACTGAAAGAAAGTATAGACAAACTAGATGACCTGATTAGAAGTAAAACAAGGACTGGAATATCCCTTTCTCAGCTATTTTCTCAAGAAGATTATCAAATTGCAGAAAATGGCGGACGGTTTGGCGGATAGGATGGATCTCGACATGATAATAAATTAAGGAATTTAGGCATCAAC